ACCATACCAGCTGACGAACTCAGGGCCATTCTGCTGCAGCAACAAGCACAATTTGAGGCAACCTAACTCATGCTGATCGAAACTCTTACGCGCCAACTCTCAAGCCAGACTGGTTCATTGTCTACAACCGTCAAGCCGTCCGCATCGGTAGACGCCATCACTAACAGCATTACCGAATTTTCGTACGACCCTGATGCTGGTTTCACTTTTGAATCTTGGTTCAAGCGTTATGAAGATGTGTTCCGCGTTGAACTTGGAGACCATGAGGACGATTGGAAAGTCCGATTGCTGTTAAGGAAACTTGGAACAGCAGAACACTCCTGGTATGTCAACTTTCTTTTGCCTAAGAACGCTCGAGACTGCACTTTTGAGGAGACTGTCAAATGCTTGCGCCAAATAGCTGGAGAGCAGTCATCCATCTTCAACACGCGACGTCAATGCCTGAAGATCACCAAGATGGACGCTGATGACTACGTCACTTAGGCTGGCATCGTCAATCGCGAGTGCGAAAAATTCGACATCAAATCAACCACGGCAGACCAGTTCAAATGCCTGATTTTTATCTGTGGCCTACATGCCCCACGGGATGCAGAGATTCGTACCAGACTGCTGAGTAAACTTGAACAAGACCAGCAAATGACTCTACAGACCATAACTACTAAATGCCAACGATTGTTGAACCTCAAGCATGACACGCCTATGCTGGAGAAGCAACAATCAACCCCAAGTCTTAGTGTATTAAAAACAACGTCAAAGAAACCGCTTCCAAATGAAACAGGCCATGAAAAGCCCAGAGAAAATCCCAAGCCCCCGACTGCTTGTTGGAGATGTGGTGAGTGGCATTTTGTTCAAGTGTGTCCATTCCTGAAACATGTTTGCCACAAGTGTCATAAACGGGGCCATAAGGAAAAGCACTGCCGATCCAGGCTGCAGTTCAAGCGTGCTAGACATACGCGACTGAATTCAAATGTTCCCAAAAGATTCAGCAGCTATAGTACGGTTCAAGCGGCCTACTCTGATGAACATGTGGCTCGCAAAAAGTACAGCAGAGTTCACCTGAACGGGCAACAAGCGCGTCTCCAGCTAGATCCAGCCTCGGAAATCAAAATTATCTCCAGCAAAACTTGGAAGTATATTGGTGCTCCGTCAATCAGCCGAACGACACATGTTGCACTTAACGCTTCAGGAGGTCAACTTAATCTCATTGGTGAGCTGCAGTGTGAAATGGATTTTGGCGCTGCTTGGGCAAACGGTGTCGTGTACATTACGAAGCTGTCACATTTGAATCTGCTTGGACTCGACTGGATCCAGAAGCTCCACTTGTTCGACATTCCCCTGAGTCAAGTCTGAAATACCCTCCGGCTCGGATATACGAGGCCCTCTTCAGAAGGTGACGGACCAAACATCAATCTGATCGAGCAGCTACGAAGGAAATTCCCGGCTGTGTTTTGCAACGACTTGGGAAGATGCACAAAGACCAATGCAAGCCTTACTCTCAAAGACGATGCCAAACCCGTATTCCGACCCAAAAGACCGATACCATACGCTGTGCTTCCGATTGTTGATGCGGAACTTGATCGTTTGGAGTGGGCCGGCGTCATCCAACCTGTGAACTATTCAGCGTGGGCAGCACCTATGGTTGTCGTCAAGAAGACCAATGGAACCGTTCGTAACCGTGCTGACTACTCTACGGGGTTGAATGCTGCTTTGAAAATGTACCAGTATCCTTTGCCAGTCCCAGAAGATTTATTTGCTAAGCTCAGTCGTGGCGCTTACTTTGCAAAACTAGATTTATCAGATGCTTATCTTCAAATTGAAGTCGACGATGCTTCAAAGGAATTGCTAGCAATCAATACGCATCGAGGTTTATACCAGTTCAACCGTTTGCCGTTTGCTGTCAAATCAGCTCCCGCGATTTTCCAACAAAGTATGTATACGATGTTAGCTGGGTTATCAGGAGTCGCAGCTTACTTGGACGACATCATAATCAAAGCGTCTACCTTCCGAGAGCTGACGGAAAGACTGGAAGCAGTTCTCCACCGCGTTAACGACTACGGTTTCCACTTGAAAGCAGAAAAGTGCAATACCGGCATGAAGTGTGTAAAGTATCTTGGCTTCATCATCGACAAGGATGGCCGTCGTCCGGATCTTTCCAACATAAGCGCCATAAGACAGATGCCTCCACCTGACAATGTGGCGAAGCTCAGATCATTCTTGGGGTTGATCAGTCATTACAGCTCTTTTGTGCCCGAAATGCATCGGCTACGAGGACCACTCAATGAACTTCTGGTAAAGGATCGCAAATTTGTGTGGTCTCCTGAATGTCAAGCCGCATTTGATAATGCCAAGTCTATATTGTATTCTGACCTATTGCTAACGCATTTCAATCCGGAGCTGGAGAGCATAGTTGCGGCTGACGCGTCAGACTACGGAATTGGAGCAGTCATATCCCACATTTTCCCCAATGGTTCGGAGAAAGCTGTGGCACATGCAGCCAGATCACTCACCCCAGCGGAACGCAACTATGGGCAGATCGAGAAAAAGAAGCTTTGGCTATAGTGTTTGCAGTCAAGCGATTTCACAAAATGCTCTATGGAAGAAAATTCACGCTGTTCACGGACCACAAATCCATGGTCGCAATCTTTGGATCAAAGAAAGGCATTCCAGTCTGCACGGCCAGTCGTCTCCAACACTGGGCAACGGTTCTACTTGGATACGATTTCGTCGCCAAATATCAGTCTACACACAATATTGGTCAAGCGGACGCGTTATCTCGTTTAATTGGTACACAGCATCAAGAACCAGAAGATTTGGTAATAGCTCAAATCTCCGTAGAACCCCAAGTACATCAAGTTGTGTCTGACATCTTCGGTGCCTTACCAGTAACGTTCGAAATGGTGCAGGAAGAGACCCATCATGATTCTACCCTACAACAAGTGATCGATTTCCACCTCAATGGCTGGCCTAAGAGAGTTACAACGCCGGAGCTTCAACAATACCACCAACGGAAGGCAGCACTATTATTGGTCAGAAATTGTCTGCTGTTCTCAGATCGCATCGCAATTCCTCTCATCATTCAAGAGATAGTCCTCCGACAATTTCATACTGGCCACCCAGGAACGAATCACATGAAATCGCTGGTACGAAGCTATGTGTATTGGCAATATTTGGATTCCCAGATCGAGAATTTAACGAAAAATTGTCCCCGATGTGCCAGTGTATCTAAACAGCCAAGGAAGACGGAATTGCAATCCCGGCCAATACCAACGGAACCATGGTCAAGGGTACACGTCGACTTTGCGGGTCCAATTGACGGTCATCATTTTCTCATCGTTGTCGATGCCCACAGTAAATGGCCAGAGGTGATTCCAATGTTGAGAACCACCGTAGCAACCACTGTCTCTGCTCTCCGACAAGTATTTTCTCGTTTCGGTGTTCCCCACACGTTGATTTCGGACAATGGTACACCATCCACCTCCCCAGAATTTGTTGTCTTCTGTCACAGAAACGCGATCTTCCATGTAAGGTCTCGATCTTTCTACCCCTAATCTAACGGGCAAGCGGAACGCTGTGTGGATACACTCAAAAGAGCCTTGCTAAAAATGAAAGGGGAAGGTACCTTGGAGGAGATTCTCGACACATTTCTTCTGACGTATCGCACAACTCCAAATCCGCAGACACCGAACGCACTATCTCCGGCTGAAAATTTGTTTCAAAGGATCAGTTATTGTCCCGCAACTATCAGATGGAGCGTCAACATCCGACACGATGCTCGGAAGCGAGCCTTTAATGTTGGCCAACAAGTTGTGGCGAGAGATTATCGCATCCACTATCCTAAATGGGCTATGGACCGTGTGCTATACAAACGTGGTAACGTGATCTACGGTATCCAGGTTGGGACGGCAATTTGGGTAAGGCATGCCAATCAGCTGCTGGAGGCAGGGACTGGTGAACAACTGCAACAACAAGTATCAACAGCGCAATTACCTCTGGACATACTGGCCGATGCGGGTGAAGCGAAGACTCCCCAACATGCCCCAACACAGCAAGCACAACATTCGTTCCCAAACCTAGCAGCACAGAGGCCAAAGCGGTGACGCAAATTCGTGTCACCCATGCAAATCAACCCCGAGCTGAAACCGTATAACACAACTCAAAGGGGGAAGTGTTAGGAAGGAATACGTGATGCGAACAAGCCAGGACCCCATCGCTGCGGCAGGCGATCCAAACTCACCCGCCCTGATTGGGGCGAACAGAAAGCCAACCGGGAGAAGCGGCCAATTAACGCGAGGGCGGCGTTACTTGATTTGCTGTAAGTTGACCTTTCAAGAGCTTTCCACGTGCGCTTTAAATACCATTCACGTAGTTTCCAGTTCACCTTTATAATGAACGGTGTGATTCACTATTAGATCCCTGTTGCTCTGCTCGTCCGATCCGGTCTTCTCTCTGTCCTGTGGGGGGCCAGCAACTTCGGGTTTTGACTAGGAATCAAGCGTCCATTCAGGCGAGGGACGAACACTTCAGTTACGGACTAACTTGATGTCGTGTTCTGGTTATGCTGGTGAACGCGATTCTGAGGTAGTTATGATAGAAACTCCGTACACAACTAGACATGCTATGACGCACGAACATGTAGCGACTTCAGATAGGTAGGTTAATTCGACTCATCAAATCAGGCTATCCAGTAGAACCATCTGCTAATGTAAGAAAAGTTGATTTAAAAAGAGACGGATTTTAGATAAGGAAACGGAATGGTTCACTTACTAAACAGAGGCTAGTCACAATGCGCTTGGAATCAGCTCTTCGAGTCAATCCCCTGAGTTATCAGGCGGCCGGATGGCGAGGCTCGTCAATAGGAGAATAAATGACGGCCACCAATGATAGGCAGCCAAACGGTGGGTATCCATGGTCTGCTACCCTCCCTTAATTAGTCTCGGCACTACCGAACTACAGTGGTCCGGATTGTACGCCAAGATGAGGAAAGCAACGCTTGTTGGAAATTATCCTCCAGTCTAGTGTGGACAAGTGGACAGATACTAATGCGTTTCCAGAGAGAAAACTCACTTTCAGACTGCTGAAACCGACGATGGGGACACGATCGCAGCCAGTGAGGAACCGTAAGAACTTTTTCTTATCCTCGACGCAGAACTCGATCAGGAGGACTTGCCAGAACCACTCGATCACTGGATGATGGTCCCAATAGATGCCCTGATAAGATGTGTTCTGGCGCAATTCGTTCCAATCGACCACCTCGGATCCGACTACAAGAGCCTGAAGAAACGAAGAGAAAGGGGTGTAGGAAAACGTGACAGTAACGTGGATTCAAGGTACAGAAGGAGAGATGTGGCGAAAGGCATGTGGAGGCGAACGAAATGAGCCATAGCACCAACGACAGATTTCATTGGTACTGCGAGCAACTTGGAGGAAGTTGCCGAAAAACGCCCACTTATGCTCCTCTCTAGGATCTGCTGGCGGGCACACACACAGAGAATGAAATTAAAAAGTTGGTAATGGACATGCAGGCAGATACTTCTCATTCATAGGATTAAAACATGATACGCGCGTAGTAGAATGTAATACGCTGCTTAAAGAGTAGGGAGAATTGGATCAGTCATACGGAAAAAAGAACGCTAGAGTCAAAGATCAAAATAGACCAACGGTAGTGTCGAATGGCAGACGAGATGGGGGTTAGTGCCATGCGGTGTATACATACGCTATGCTAAAGGGGAGGAGCGGCTCAGTCGACACCACCAATATATACAACCATACGGCGTAAGCCAGGTGGATTCAATGAAGCACACCCTTTTGCTGTTGCATTCATGTCACGAAATTTTGTTTCCACAAGATGATACACACTGACAGATGAATGGCGAGAATGGTAATTCAAGCGAAGCGTAAGACAGCGCGTAAGTTAGTGTGAGCGAATAGAATGCACGTCTAGCTGTCTCAAACAAGGTCCCATCAATGAGTTATCGATCATAATAGAAATTAGCCGAAATTGAAGCCTCCAGTTTGCAATGAGAACTTCAGTTCAGACTGCTTCGGATTAACAGTAAGAGTAGTAAAAGGGCCGCTTCTGATGTGAGGGCGCTGCGATTAATCGATGATCATGCAATGTCGACGGAGAAACGACAGGGAGGAACTAACAAAAAAGTTTGAAAGATCTACCATTGGTAACCAGATCAAGATGTTGTGGGTACAACACATGTGCCTCCCGAGGAAAGTAACCGTCAACCAGCGAGTGAGCTGAATTTCTAAACAGCAGATCAGTAGAACGTGACATCAAACTGTATGACTGTTCAAATGACGAGCAGCTTTGAAGAAGTTCATTTTAGGGGCTTTGTAAGTTCAGTTCAATTCGACTGGTCGACTATGGCTCGTGCATGGAAGTGCGCTGGGTTGGACTGCGTCGGCATAATAATTTCAAAGAAATAGACTGTCAGTAGTTGTAGATAAGGGGAAGTATGTTACAGCGTCACGGAATCCGTGACCGTGTCGTAGCCAACAGTGTCCAACCACTGCAGTGGCTAACCCCGAGAGCTCCGTTTGATCTAGTCAATTGACACGCATGCAGAGCAGATGACCTATCCAGCGTGCGCGACTCAAGTTCAACAGGCACTCCAATGAAGCGACACGGGTGACATCGTAGCGTAGAGGCAAGGGTAAATAACACAAGGGCAACGCGAATTCACGCAAGACAAAAGCTGCAACAGTGAAAGCCTAGGAATACTTGTGTTCAAACACAGGAAGTCAAAACCGAAAGAGGAATACCATTTCCTATCACACATAGCTTCAGTTAGGCATGATATATTGTACACATGGGAGTGAGGGTTAGAGTAGTTTCGGAACAGGAAGACTATTCAATCGCGTAAAAAGTGAGTCAGGACAGGTACACTTATGGGTCACGATGGTGTGGACGACTGCGGAAAAAACTCGTTCGTCGGCACAGAGTTAAGATATCGTGTGAATGCATGGGAGATTGCGGCGGTACCAGGGTTATAGAAATGGTAGTTTGCACAAGATTACCTGCTGATCCTCGTAAGGTACCTTGAAGGAAATATTGAGCATGCATCAAATCAGTGACCGACATCCAACCCGAGTCGAAAACTAGGGCGCAAGTGCACGCGCATGTAGACAGGTGATCGATATCCCACGACGTGTTGCAGGCACTCTTCGACGATGTTATCATAAACGATTGGATTTTGGTGCAAGTCACATCACTATTGGAACTTGCTTAGTGAGGTGTCTCTCGCACTTTTTCACATACACACGGGCAAGTACCTGACAGCTATGGTGCTGCTGAGCTTTCCGCTAAACTCTCCCTATGAAGGTAGGTAGCTTGGTAGGTCGTGTGCACAACCATGCGCGTCATGTACTCATGCAAAAGAGTAATATGGTGCTCCAACTCACAAACTTGTGTTGTCTTAGCTATATACACATAATGAACCATATCGCACGTAAAAATTTCATCAACCAACATGAATTACTCATAGAAAGATACGGGGCACTATACGCGCGTCTAAAAAGGTTGCTTAAAATTTCCATCCGATATTTTAATTTTCGCGCCGAATATTCGCGGGATGCGCGCGTGAAGATAACGCTCAGTTTCATCTGCGCAAATAAACACTGATAATCGTGTGGCCTAAAGTAGTTTTTATCTGAGAGATCGCGTCTGCCTGGACAGTGACAAATACGCAGTTGCGTAGAGATAGCACAACGGCGGATACTAGCGATGGGAACACGTGAGCTCGAAGTGCGTAATGGTGTGGTGTTGTTGTATCTAGCACACGCACGTAAGGATGGTTACGAGTCACAGTAAATCTACGCAAGCCCCTTTCTTTAAGTAATTATGTGTTGCTTTCGACCACGAGATTTTAGGCCGACTGAAGTCAATGAAGACATATTTCAGTAAAACGGTACCCTATTAGCTAAATAGAAATCCCGAGAATTCTGTTCAGCAACCATGACAACGTCCTCAAACTCTAACTGCATCCTACATCAGCCGTCGCGCAGGTTATCAAGCGTCACCTTATTTGCTGCATACAGCAGGGCAGATAAGCGAAAACATGCTACTGCTGGCGTCTCCCTTCGTTTTTTCCACCTGTTTCTCTTACCCCCATCCCGACCCCCATTAGTAACCTTCCTTCGATAATTCCCAGCTCAAATGTCAGCAATGGAAGTGCCACTGGAGTACAATTATCTGCAGCCACCATCCCGCAACACTTACCGGCAACCGTCCCTTACAAGTCCACACTGTTCCGTTTCCCTAGCAGCGTGCAACGTTCGCACTCGCGTGCGCGTTGGACACGCTAAGTATTTTTGGATGTTTGCGAGTAAAGTTTGTAGAAAGTAGAAGTCACGATTAAAATTCACGCACAATAATGTGCCTCGACGGGGAATCGAACCCCGGTCCACGAATTCCCGGTCCGTTGCTCTACCACTGAGCTACCGAGGGCTGACGATTAGGTGCGCAAATGTTAATGCACTAGGTATTGACGCGTATTGTGTGTCCGAAACTAGGATCAATGACCCTAATGGAAGTGTTGCTACTTCGCCTTGGGCAACCGGCTAGTATCGTGCCCTCTGTGAAAACCATGGATTTTGCAATTACTACTACGTCGCTTACTTCTGCTGCTACTCGTGCTTTTCCAGCACACGCCAAGTTTTCTCTACAACCTATTGAATCTACTTCCAATGCCCGTCTCGCTGGTATCCAAATCATCCGGCCATCAGCTATCCTTCTACCCCGTAATTCATTCCGTCTGGCAGCTTTTAATGTTCGGACCCTCCTACAGATTGGACAACAGGTTGGCCTTGCGCGCACTCTAGAGTCCCTCGATATCGATGTTTGTTTTCTTTCAGAGACTCGACTACAGGATCCCAGCATCGTGGTTAAGTTGTCGTCCCCAGCTGCTCTTGAGTCCACATATTACCTACGTCTGTCAAGTGACATGGAGGCAGCTGCAACCGACTTAGCTGGTGTCGGTATCGCATTGAGTGACAAAGCGGGGGCTTCATTACTCGACTGGTTTCCAGTCGACAGCCAGCTGTGTGTGGTTCGGCTTCAAGCCTCATGTAGAATCAACAGACATCGTGAAGAGAGGCGCAATTTGTTTGTCGTTTCTGTCTACGCTCCAACCGACTGCAGCTGTGCATAGGTTAAGGATGACTTTATCCTGGTCTCCACAACCTTTTGAACAAGGCCGAAAAGTCAGATGTCATCATGCTTGCCGGAGATCTCAATGAGCGAGTAGGTCGCCTGGTTCCATGCGAACATCATCTTGGTGGCAGTCACGTGTTTGATGAGAGCCGTTCTGACAACGGTGATAGATTTCTTACGTTATGCGAAGACCACTAGGTGTTTCTCGCAAGTACGAACTTTAAGTATACCAGAAGACGCGTAGCCACCTGGCGTCCTCCTTCACCAACACAAGTGTGGTCACAAATAGATCACATTGCAATCAGCTTTAGATGGTGAAGCAGCGTCCGGAGTTGTAGATCGATTTGGTCTTCGTACCTCGATTCAGATCATGCTTTGGTCTGTGCGGACATCTGCATGCGCTTCGGCGGCCCCTCAAAACGAAAGCTCCATACACACGACATCAACAAGTTAGCTGCCCTCTACTCGATCAAGTTATCAAGCTTCTTTGTCGCATGCATTTATTGGTGCTCCACCTCGAGAGATCGAAAATCATTGGAGTTTCCTGCGTGAAGCGATGCTAACTTCCAGTCATTCAATCTGCGGAATCACAAGGCGCCTTCTGAGGGGCGGGATTTCCGTACACTCAAGGGAATTGTCTAATCGTCGTAGAGTTATCCCGGCCGATTCAAATAGCAGTGCATTGCGTAGCATTCTCAGCCAACAACTTAAGGAAAGCCTGCATGCAGATCGCCAAACTGGGTGATCTCAGCGCGCCTTAGAAATGAAAACGGCAGCCCTCTCTGGAAACTTCCGCAAGCTCTTCCAGGCCATTCCGGCCACTGATCACAAAAGACCTAGTGTCAGTGAGATCATCTGCGAGGTTGACGGAACGCTGATAAGCAACTTACACAGGCGTATGGACCGCTGGGCTAAACACTTCCACACAATTCAGCTGACTTCCTCCGCCGGCGAGTCTATTGAGTACATCTAGTTGCGCGTTTTGGAACGTCTCATTGGAACCACCTACTGAAGCTGAGGTCTGCCTTGAGCTCCGACACCCGAAGTGATTCAAGTCTGCTGGCCCAGACGGACTTCTCCAGAACTGTTTAAGTTCGGGGGGCGAAGTAAC